ACTTGAATATAAGTCATATCAGCACCTATTATCTCTAGAACTTTCCAAAGTATATCTCTTGGAACCTTATCGTAAGCTTTTTCTAAATCAATAAAAATCATATGTAGATCCTTCTTATTCTCTCTGCACATTTCCATCAAACCTGTCAATAAATGTATAGCTTCTATGGTAGACTTGCTCCACATAAATCCAAATTGATTATGAGAAATGTTTGTAATACGTTTTAATCTTTGTTCAATTACCTTCTCCCATAATTTTAAAGTATGACACATCAACTTAATTCAACTATAATGTGCACACTCTTGTGCGTCCCCTTTATTCTTAAAAATGGGGTCCAAAATACTCTTCCTCCACTTCTCATGTTTCTTTTCAATTTTTAAAATAATATTAAAGAGTTTAGTAAACCAAGAAATGTTGAATTTGCTTAGGTTATTACAAATGTAAAACTGTTTAACAGTTAAACATGCCATGTCATGATAATTTAGGAAAATAGTCGTTACCAGAGCAAACTCAAATTACAATAATAACGCAAATATCGTTATTGAAGTTTGAAAGTTTACAAACGATGACTCTTCAAAATAGAAAATAATGACAAGTATACACGTTAGTACCCTAGGGGAGGATGACAATGTCAGATGGCTGGCTGGCTAGGGAATGAAGGGTTGGTTGGAGACTGCAGGTATCTTGAAGGGGTGGAAGGGTTGGACTACAACCCTAGAAATAGGTGATCGAGTTGAGTGACTGGCTAGGAAGGGGAGTTGCTTGCATTGTGGGAGTTGGGGTGGTTGCAGGCGAAGGAAAGAGGCTGCTGGTGTGGGGGTGTTGGTCGAAGTAAATGTCACAATTGGTTAGGGGGGTGTGATACTCTCGAGAAAAATTGCAGGTGGCGGGACGAGGGACCAATGATTGGGAAAAGGGAGGTTATGCGGGTATGAGATGAAGGCAAAGTTGCTGTTATGACAGGGAAGAACAAGGAGGGAGCTGAGTGTTACATTATGGAGGAAAAGAGGGCCAGACGATTGGGAACAGAGAAGAGGGAGAGCGAAAGCAGGTGGGTAGGGTGGAGTTGGAAGTAGGAGAAGATAATCACCATTGGGGGAGATGGATACAACAGGAGCACCACCCAATCTATCAGATACAACCCTCGAAGGGGAAAACATAACACTAACGGTTATCCACATAGAAATGAAATCAGAAGCCATAACTAGCCTAAACAACATAAATGACCTATTTATTATAATAGATAAGTAACGAGGGGGAGGCTCCTCTCCATGGGTGGGAAAATCAGCCCCCTTGGGCCGGTCGGTCCAAGCAACAAGGTTCAGCCCTCCTATGCACCATATCACTCTCCTAGGGGTGGGAGAGTTTCTACTTCATTCATCAAAGCTTCAAGCTTCTCATAGCACGACATCAAGTGTCCTGGTAGGTTGATTAAGTAGGCGTTGTTGTTCTAAAGCATATTCTGAAAGAATACATATCCATCCACTTTTGGTACAACCCACGATGGAACTGTAGCTAGATGAGTATTCTCACAAATCAGGTATCGAGCCATCCAAGTTGTAACCTGGTTCTTCCACTTCGCGTACTCGGCTAAGTGCAATTGACGAACTAATTTGTAAGGAGAAGTCAACTCTGGCGTGCAATTTGTGACAGGCTGCAACCTTCTCGCTAACACTCACTCAGGGAAGACATCTTTTTCACTGATAGGACCTGGATCCTATTGAAGTATTTTCGTTTCCATCAAGCTACTCAGATTCATTTCAAAGCTGGTGCTTATGTCGTCTGTTTAGACGTTTGGCGATCTGTCCCCTGCGAGACTGAAAACAAACTTTAAAAAAATCTGCGTAATACTTCTGACATGGCATAAAGTGACCCCATTTCTGACATGACGGTCATCTCTTAGGGATATTTCAAGAAGGTGTCTAAACATCTGAATATTCTGCATTTCTTTTATTTGTGGTGACTCTGTATCTGATGTCGACTCCTTAAACTCATGACTCTTTTGGATAGCTAAGGTCAGTTTTGTTGATGTTCCTCTCAATGCCTGCGAAATGATAGCTCGAGTTACCATAGTTTCATTTTCTGCCTAAACACCCATTGCATCGAGGTCACCTCCTTCTAGAACGAATACTGTTGTCTTAGCTGGAATCTCTATCTTGGGATCGACTGGAAGTGGTGGCGTCTCTTTTTCATTGGCTGCAAGTGGAGAATCCTCTCTTAGTCATCATCTTCTCCATGATCAGTTGTGTCATTGCCAATTTTTCAACAATACCATGCTCAATGAAACAAATCACTCCCTTGGTTTGCATTTTGATTCAAGATGCCCAAATTCATGGCACTGCTATACTTTATGGTTGAGAAAGATTTAGGGATGCGTATTGGTTTCACCTGTTCACCACTTTAAATCCACATTTCCTCTGACGGGGTAGCATTGGGTGCTCTCTTGGGCATACTTAGGCTATAAAAATATGATGTTAAACTCTGACTGCAAGATGTGGATTGCTCAGTGATGTGGTTTCTCCACTTTTGAAGCTAGAGGTTGCAACCTCTATCTATAGAAAGCTGGTAGAAACTCATACTGTCTCCCACTTCATTTTCAGATTCTCTCTTTCTTTCTCGTTCTTCACATGTAGTCTTCTTTCTCAACCTTCTCTAATGTCGGATTCCCAAGTGTCGTGGCCTTTCTCATTCACTACTAAAAATCTCTCTACGAAAGGGGTTGAAATTATCGTCCCTTTCTCCTCTTCTGCTTTCTCTATCACCATCAGGGTAAGTCCCACCTGGATGTCATCCTCTATATTCGCCCCTCTCCGCTAAAGTCGGCGGATCTCTCATTATATCTTTTTCCGAGTATGCTCGGACATGTATACCCTTGGTGGCATTACTGAAATTTAGGGTTGGGAGGTAAAAGAGGAGGTAGCAAACTCATGGAAGGTGGAAGAAACTAATGCGGGGTTGCTAATTTTGAAAAACGGTGAAGGGGGAATTCGAGATTAGGTTAGTTTGGGGCTATGGTTCGGGAATAAGAAATAAAAATTTTTTGGGGAGGTGAATTTGATAGGGGCAGATGCTAGGAAACCCTAGGATAAGATTAGAGTTAGACTAACTTTAATATCAAATACTAGAGCAAGCCCAACTTATGATAAAAACACAAGTATTGCTGAATTTGAAAAGGTTACAATTGACGACTCTTCAAAATAAGAAATAAAAACAAACAAACATGACAATACCTTAGGGGAGGACGATAGTCTTGGGTGGTGGTTGGCTAGGGAATGAAGGTCTAGTTAGAGACTTGGGTATCTTGGAAGGGTTGGATGGCAGCCTTCGAAATAGGTGACTGAGTTTAGTGACTCACCGGGAAGGGGAGCTGCTGGCGTTGTGGGAGTTGGGGTTGTTGCAAGTGGAGGAAAGAGGCTACGGGTGTGGGGTGTTGGCGGAAGGAAATGTCATGGTTGGCTAGGTGGTGTGAAACTCTCGGGAAAAATTGCAGGGGCGGGACAAGGGACTTGCGGTTGGGAAAGAGGTTTATGGGGCTGTGAGGCGAAGGCAGAGTTGCTGTTACGGTAGGGAGGAGCAAGGAGGGAGCTGAGTGTTACGATAGGGAGGAAATAGCGGGCCAAGCGGCTGGGAACAGAGACGAGGGAGGGTGACTGCTGGTGGGTAGGGTAGGGGTGGAAGTCGAAGAAGACAATCACCACTGAGGGAGAGGGATACAGCCGGAGCACCACCCAGCCCATAGGTTACTGCCATCGAAGGGTAAAACAGGGCGTCGACGGCTGTCCACACAGAACGGAAATCAGAAACCACATAAAAAACAAACTTAAACAACATAAAGGACCTATTTATAATAATGGATAAGTAAGGAGGGGGAGGCCCCTCTTCTTGGGCGGCAAAACCTCCCTTGGATCGATTGGTCCTAGCAATGGTGGACTGAACCGGTTCGGCCCTCCTAAGCCCTACGTCAACAACATTTACATTTTGGCTTAGCTCGTGGTCCTTTTGCCCAAGTTATTATAGAATAAATGGCGATTGCTTGAAATTCAAAGACTTATTTATTTGATATGGTGTTAGAAGTTGTAATGTGTGCTAGTAAGGATTTTAGCCTGTTTACAGTAGTTACCAAACATCAAATACCCTTCTCTTTATCCTAACACCACGACGTTATATTCTAAAGATATCAGGATGGAATTTGATCAATTTCATGTGTGATGTATTTATCTGCTAAGTCGAACTATGAATTTTAATTAGAATGTTTTTGCCTGTAATTTTTTTCCAATATATTCTTGTGGTATTCAGTTGGCGAACCATTGTGAAGGTACTTCATTCTCTCCTAATTTTTATATTTTGTATGTGGAATGAATATCCATTGATATTATTGTAACAACTTGAACTTTAACTGATCGAGATGTTGCCCGCTTTGGCCTAATGACCACATGATTTTGTCCCGTTGGTATAACTTCTCAGGATATCACCCATCCTGAGAATGCTCCCGCAAGAGTAGATTTTACTTTTGAATTTTTGATGAAATTTTAAACATTGTTTGAGTGTTCGACTATTACGGAGTTTGACATTCTCCCCCATTTAAAGAACTGACATCATCATCAGTGTAATGTTCGGATATCATTTGTAACTACCCAAACTCTCACCCATAAAGATATTGGTTTAATGGTCTCATGATTTTGTCCCATTGGTGTAACTTCCCAGGAGGTCACCTATACTCCCGCAAGAGCACACTTAAGTTTGAAGTTTCTAATGAAATGCCAACTATTATATCAAAATACGTCTTGATGTTTAAGTGTTCAACTTTTTTCTACTTCAAAGGGTCTCACAATGCTTATTAACGTAGGAATTAGTGCATACTTCGTAAGTAAATGAATGTAATGTTATGTTTATTCTTGGTTGGAGTGTTTAACCACAATTTTTTCTAAGCCTCACCCTCTTCTTTTCTTCTTCTCCAACTCTCTTCACTTCACACAAAATATCTTCTGCTTCTATTTCAGGCACGGAGCCTAATTTGGGGTTTAAAAAGAGTGATGCAAAAGATGTTCAATCGAGTATCTCTCACCAAAAGAAAAAGTTTAAGGCTGGTGATTCGTTAACCTGGACCGAAAAATACCGTCCAAAGGTTCCAAATGATATTATAGGAAATCAATCACTTGTAAGTAGCTCAGTTTTCTATCATTGCTTGTATATATTTGAATAAGAACTTAAAACCTTTGTTACCGCATACAGGTTAAACAGCTTCATGATTGGCTAGCTAATTGGCACAAGGAGTTTCTTCATTCGGCAAAAAAGCCAACAGGTAAAAGACAGAGTGATAGTGCAGCCAAAAAAGCTATATTAATTAGTGGATCACCTGGCATTGGGAAGAGCACTTCGGCCAAGCTGGTTAGCCAAATGCTTGGTTTTAATGTTATTGAGGTGATTGTCTATTTATGATTATTCTATTTCATGCAGGAAAATGGTTTGTTTGGAATTTAGAATGTCTAATCTTTCGCACAGGTGAATGCTAGTGATAGTCGTGGGAAGGCTGATTCTAAAATTGCTAAAGGCGTTGCTGGAAGCACATCAAATTCCATCAAGGAACTCATTGGCAATGAAGCTTTGAGCATAAACAAGAATTGGTTCTTTTTACACGACTTTACTAATATCAAGGGTTTACTAGTTGGTCTTTTTTTAGGGGAATTTACGTACATACCAACCAACTCTTATGTATGTAAATATCTAACACCAAACTTTAATTTTGACATTTATACCAACTAAATCTTTCATATCACACCAAAACTACCACCCTTTTCAAATATTAAAAAGTGAAATGCACCTTTTCGTGCATAATAGCGAAGGTGGCATGTATTTAAAAATTGTAGCTTAGGTTTTAGATATGTAAATAATTAAGAATTAAGTGGTATGTATGTAAATCTTTCTTTTTTTAACTACAGCTAATATTTTAACTACAATTTTAGGCCAAAGCATGCAAAAACGGTGCTAATCATGGATGAGGTTGATGGTATGTCTGCTGGAGATAGGGGTGGAGTGGCTGATCTTATTGCTAGTATAAAGGTTTCTAAGATTCCTATAATTTGCATATGTAATGATCGGTATAGCCAAAAGTTGAAGAGCCTTGTCAATTACTGCATGCTGCTCAACTTTAGGAAGCCCACTAAACAGCAGGTTTTCTCTCTATTTTGCTTTATAGTTCTTCTTTTAATTTATTAGATTTTTAGAAACATTTCATTTATCTGGAGTTAATCAAAACTGCTTATGATGTAAACACTAGATATGCAAATTGCCAACCTGTTTAGGTACTACTAGGGATGTAACTGAGCCAAGCTAACTCGTGAGGTTGCTCGGGCTCGGGTCGTTAAGTGGCCCGTGAGCTGAGCTCAATGAGCAAACAAGCTTAAGCTCATGCCAGCCCGAACTTGATTCATTGGCTCGTGAACCTACTTGTTTAAAAATATTAATTTAAAATATAGTAAAAATATATTAAATTTCAAGATATTAGTTTGTCATTTTGTTATAACACTAGTTTGAATTTATATTGTTTTCTCTCTTTTTTTAATAAACAAGCCGGCTAAAACTCGTATAGTTAAGCCCGAACTCATGCTCAAACCCAAGCTGAGGATGATTCGAGCTCAACTTAACTCGTTTACACCACTAGGTAGTACATCTTAGTTATGGGAGTTCAGCCTGCAGCTTGCTAAGGATTAATGTTTGTTAATTGAGCAATTATGGAAAATGGTGTTACTGCTTAAGAGTTAAACTGGGATATTTTCTATTACTTACAGTTTGGTTGGATGGAATAGTTTTTGACTACGTTTCTTTTACTTTTTGAAAGTGGTTCCATTTTTTGGGTAGAAATCTTAACTGTTGGGCTGTTATATAAAATCAGCTATTGCTTGATGTTAGTATTGAACACTGACTGTGAGAGTCTATGTTTGACTGGAATGGCTGTTGGATTCTCAATTTCAACGTATGTTCTTTTTTATGCTTGATTACTGTATATGATCGATTGGAGGTGTTCACAATCCTGGAAGGTTCATTGCCTGATTTATGCATTTTCCTTGCTGCAGATGGCAAAAAGGTTAATGCAAATTGCTCAAGCAGAAGGTCTTCAGGTTAACGAGGTATTGTTTGTAATGTGCCTGCTATCTTGTTTATTCTTCATGATTTCTATATTTTTTTCTTGCAAATTTATTATGGATTAATTTACATTTGGGGTTCTAATTTATGGAGGTCTTGTCAGGCCTTGAGGGATACCTTGGTGTCATATAGTTCAGCTACATGGGATATCGTATTAGAAGTATTTGATGATGAGTGAAGTGTCAAAACAAACTTGATTATTTACATAGGGTCATTTCAGTCCTAGAGTCTATGAATGCGTTAATTTAGTCCTCAAATTCTTTTAATATGGGCTGAAATAGTCCATAGAGAGAACTATTTTAGCCCCAATTAAAAGAATCTGAGGACTAAATTAACATTTTTATAGACTTTGGGACTAAAATGACTCCTCAAAAAGTGTCACGGGATCATTTTAACACTTTTCTTATTTGTTTTTTAATGGCATTGGTGAAAGTTCTAAAAGGCTAGGGGCTTCTATTTAAGTATAATGGAGAGTCACTATGTTCGTTCTTTCAACTTTTATAAGATACCTAGGTCTGATAATATGTTTTTTCTAGAATCGATTTGTTTACATATCTTTGATGTGTAATTTTCTTGGATTTATTGTAGATAGGACTGCTGACATATATAAGATGTAAGGTTGGATATGTAAAATGGAGAGAAATTCCCAGTGTTTTTGGTTGAGAGAATGACATTGCAACTAAATTGAAAATATTAGTTAACTTGAATAACTAATGTTAATGTTTTTAAAGTTTGGGATCATATAAGTAGGAACACATAAGAAGGGACAAGGATATCATCATGGAGGCGTGGTACTATGCAGAATGATGAAGAAATTAATGTTAGAGAAAGTATGGAGTAAATTTGCTGAGAAAAAAAAATAGAAAAAATGGTTGGAAATGTTCAATAGATTGAAAAAAAGTGCTATTAGGAATAATCATCATTGTTAATATGCTTATCCCAACTATGTGGAATCTACTTCATGAATCATTGTTTTTCATTTTCCTGCTGAGTTTGCAGTTTTAAACCTATTTTTTGCTCAGATCTAATGGTGCATTTATACCCTTAGTTTCGCAGGTCTAAACCACCAAAGTCTACATTTAATTACCTTATCTGAAACGGATGTCATTCCAACCATTCTTCTAATAGAATTATGCCTTAATATTTGCCTCCCCCAAATCCATTCTTAATATTCTTATTTTGATTATGCTCAACTTTACCAATGCCTTTTGAACCACTGATATTTTGTTCTGTATAATACTTGTATTTTTATTACAACAGAAATACGAAGCTAAAAATATGTGAAATGGTCTGTAAACAAGAGGGCAAGGCCCTACTAATCCGGTATAGTTAAAGAAGGTTATTTATGCTAGATTAGAAGTTTAACAAATATGTAGTGTGATTCCTAAAGCAAACCTGAGATAGAGATTATTGCTTCTACTACCTGCAATAAAACTATTCTCGTATAGTATTTATTTGTAATTTTTAATGCTTTTATTTTCTTATGCAGACCCTTTTTTTAAGCATTTCTTGGATAATCACAACTTTAAATTATTTATCAACACTTTCTTCTCACGCAAATTATTCTCTTCTTCATTATCAACAAATGCAGGCCCACTCTTTCTGGCTTTTTGTTTTGGGTGGGGTGGGGTGCGCGGTTTAGGTGTTAGATATGCAAGTACATAGGATTTAAGTGGCATGCATGTAAATCTTCTGTTTTTTTTTCCCTTTTATTTCTTGCAGTCAGTTTATGTGTGCAGCTTATTGATATCTTATTAGATTGCTCTCGAAGAACTTGCTGAAAGAGTTAACGGAGATATGCGGATGGCATTGAATCAGTTACAATATATGAGTCTCTCTCTATCCGTTATCAAATATGATGATGTTAGGGAACGGCTTCTTAGCAGTGCAAAAGATGAAGACATTTCACCCTTTACAGCTGTTGACAAGTACTGTTCATCTACTCCATGCTTTTGTCATAATTAGAGTTTGCCTTAAATAACATAGAATTGATATTGTCTCGTTCTTATCATCCTTATTATTCTATTTTTATTGCTATAGAATTTACATTGTAATTTGAGTATCTAATTTATGGAAATGAAATTGGACCATTAATAGGAGCCTTGTGCATTATGTTTTGTTCTTTCTATGGAAATGAATCTCACAAAGTTCTATTTTATTGATGTTCATTTTGTTTGAGATGAATCTTCATTTATTGCCTTCACTTTTATTTTCATTTGGGATGAAGGAGAATTCATCGCATTGTCTTCCTTCATTATGGAAAGTGGCATTTCAGATGAATTTTCTCTAATGCTTTTGTTTTCTCGTATGAAATCACTTTTATCGGGCCTTGGACAGGCAATTGCCTCGAAAAATAGATGTCGCTGAAATTTTTGGGTGAGAGTTGAGTGAAAAATGGAAGTATTGTTTTGGATAAGGACAAGGCTTCTCACATTTATCTTTTGACTTGATGCTTAAAAAAGTGATGTGTTTTTTGTTTCTGCTATGGTTGGATAAGTTAGCTTATTAGAATGCATGTTTTTTAAATTTAGACTGTTTCAATCTGTTTTTCTGTGAACCGATAATCATTTCCAATTCATACGAAAATTTTCCGCTTCGAATAGTTTGGAACTGCTACGACCTATTGGTTGTATCGGCAAACCTGTAGTTGTTTGAAAGAATCAGTCGGTTCTTTCAAGTTTTGTAAAATATGCTTGGTTTAATTTTTGAGCTTTTGATTAACTTTAATCAATGATCTAATTGGTTGTAGATAAGTTTATTAAGCATAAAATATAATATTTTAATTTTAATTTTGTTTAATTCTCATGCATATAGAAATCAAATCAACATTCAAGTTAAGACCAATTGGCCTACCAACTGAGTGAAGCTATAAGCTTATATTTCTTTTCCATTTTAAAGTTTAAAATGTTAGGTCTCCTTTATGATGTGGGAGTAGATGAGCTATATGAATGACTATAGGAATGAAGAATTGGGCTGAGCCATAAAATTGGGCTGGGCTAGGCTATGGAAATTGGGCTGAGCTATGAGAGTTCAGCTGCAATAATTGATAAAATATGTTATCAACTTATCTATATTTATATTATTATAATTGTTTTTAATTTTAAATAAATTTAATTTTCATACTATATTATTATTGTACTATTTTAAGTCATATTTAAATAATTTAATTTAAATATTTATTATATTAACCTGTTCGACAACGTGTTCAACCTTTGAACGATCAACCTTTGAAACTTGAACAAGTTTTTCTTCCGGTTCGATGTCCAGTCTGTTTTTAAAAACCTTGTTTTTAAATGATTACTGTGTATTTCTTACAGTCCATTTTAGATTTCAGAGTCTTTTCTTTGGCGGCAATGACCCTGACTAAAATATTTACTTAAATTATTAATTCACATTTCATTGTCTCGTTGGAGACATCTCATATTCTTGTTGCATGCATTTTTCAGACTTCAGAGCTCTTCTTTGGCCAGAAGCGGCACGCTTGATATTCTTTTTCTACTAGCTTTTGTTCTCTTTGAAATTTTGATGGAATTTTCAGGTTGTTTGACTTCAAAGGAGGAAAATTACGAATGGATGAGAGGATTGATTTCAGCATGAGCGACCCTGACTTGGTGCCTCTTATTGTTCAAGTGAGTTTTTTCAAGCTTTGTCCAAAAATAATTCATTTCACACGTCATACCCACAAACCCCCATTTGGCTTGTGAAATTCTGTTTTAAGTTTGGGGCATTTGCATGCATGTCACCCAATTCTATTTTATTCACTTATCTAACACCTAAACTTTACATTTTACATTTATACCACTCAAAATTTTCACACCACATAAAAAAGTGAAATGCATATATGTATGATGCATAGGTAAGGTTGCATATATGTAAAAATTGAAGTTTAGGTGTTAGATATGCAAATACATAAGTATTAAGTGGTATGCATGTAATGCTTCCTTTAATTTTTGGTTATGTTTTCCCTTCGTCCTTTAAAACTTTGACATTCCATTTATTTCTTTAAATTCTAGGAAAACTATATAAATTATCGACCATCATTGGCTGGAAAGGATGAGAATGGAGTCAGAAGAATGAACCTAATTGCTCAGGCTGCTGAGTCAATAGGGGATGGCGACATTGTTAATGTACAAATTAGACGATATCGGCAATGGCAGCTTTCCCAAGCTGGTTCATTTGCATCTACTATAATCCCGTGTGTCAAGCAATTTTTCTTGCAAATTCTCAATTTGAAATGATATTAATTTATTGAAAAGATATTAATTATAAATGGTTTTTGTGCTTCAGGGCTGCTTTAATGCATGGAAATCGGGAAACATTAGAACCTGTAAGTTTAATTTGGTTCAGTTAATCTTCAATTAATATTTGTGATTTATTTGACGATATTTTCTTGGTTGAACTGTATGCATATGATTGACACAGTAGAGATTTTCTTCTTCTAGACAGCCATATTATATTTTTTTTTACTTTTGGGCCACTGCTAAAAATTCATCATTAATCAACATCTACCTATTCTTTAATAAACTTTTGTGATTTTGTTATTATTTTATGAAAGTTTTGCTGATGATGTTTCTTCAGTATGCCACATAATTTCAGTTTTATTAATGGCCCGTCCTTGTTAAAAAACCATTTATTGTTATCCTCCTATATCCTGCTTTTTTAGCGTGTTGCTGCATTGTAGTGCATCCTATTTAACTTTACCTCACTCATGTGCCTTTTTATTTAACATTTCAACTTACATATATCCTATTTATTTTCACGGTAGAACAACTCCTATATCCTTAGATTTTCTTGTGTTTTTCTTAATCATATTAAATTTTATGTTTTTAATCTGCCGAATAAGTAGTTTTAATGCGAAGTACGTCTTTTACTTCCATCTTGCATGAATGCATTGTGCTATAGCATCTATCAGTGATTTGGAATGAGACCTAGACACTAGGAGGTTTATTTTGTTTTGTGTCGGGTTAGATGAAACCAACCTATGTTGCATACATGCTAATTTTGACCAGGCATAAGGCTCTTGTCAACTTTGGTTCGATCTTATTAATAATTGTGAATGCGAGCAAATATTAATCTAATAACTTTTCTTTTGACCTTAATCATCTCAATTAAGAATTTGACAATGAATAGAAACACAAGCAAATGTTATCATTCTATTTCTTCTGACGTCAACTTAGCCATTCAGCTTGTGGTAAACCTTTGATTGGTTGCTACTATTATTCATACTGATCCCTGATCTGATTTTTATTTATTTTGGTTATTTTTATAGTTAGAAGACTGGAATGCATTTTATGCAGCAGCTGAAATGTATTATCTCACAATGTTTCTTGATTCTAATCCTCAAATTTTTAGTTATGATTTAATTTGATTTGAGTTTGTCGTTCACTGGGATCAGGGTGTTATTTGTCTGATTCTGAATTAAATTATGTTGCCGTAGTCTTATCTTGTGTTATTCAGGGGCTGAATTGTTTTAATCCTACTTTGATTCTTTGTTAAATAAACCATTTAAATAATTTAATTACTGCTGCACATAATACATGAAAAAACTTTTACATGATTGATTTGACATAGGAGGAGATGAAAAAAATGTGTTCAATTATCTCATTGAACTGTATTGTACTACCCATTATCTATTGCCTTGTGAGAGAAGTGCCAAAACGGTCACCTGGTTATTTTCAGGTTACCACTTTAGTTTTAGACATTGAAGAAAGGATGCCCCAACTCTTTTAGTAACTGTTAAAACAATCTTACCGTTAAAACTAATAGAAAATAATATTTAGGGTGAATTGAGATATTTTTTTGGAATTTGTATGTTTTTTTAATTTTTCCGTAAATCTAATTCATTACAAATCTTATTTTAATTTCAATGTAATGAAATTTATGAAATTTAATTTTTTTGTCATGATATGTTAAAATTAAAATTTAAATATTGATTTTAATTTTTTTCAAAAGACTAAAATATACTTTATAGTATGTTACATGATTTGTATAATTATGATTGCTTGATTTTATAAATTTTAATTGACTATTTTTTTTTTTAAATCTTGCATGTGAATTTCCACAATTAGTATGCAATAACGAGCATCATGAATAATAGTTTGTCTTTCTATAAAAAAAATTTAGTCAATTAAGTTTATTGAATTAAATAATCCTGATTATACATATTTTATAACAAATAAAAAATACATTTTAGTTTTTTTAAAAAGATTTTAAAATTAATTTATAAATTTAAAATCTTAACAACTCATCACAAAAAATAAGTGTTCATCAATTTCATTACAATGGAATTAAAGTAAGGTTAATAATGAATTAGATTTACTGAAAAATAAAAAAATGCCCCCTTTGTAACAACATAAGTATTTTTGTTAGTTGTAGCTGTGACACTGTTTTAACACATTAAAGTGTAGGGATATCATTTTGCCACTTTTTGAAAGTCTCGGGACTCAAATGTCTCTTAAAATTTGGAATTGACCAACAGAATTTCATTGATAGGAAGATGAGTATTTAAATCCAACTACAATAAACGTAATAATGGAAAATAATAAAATCAAAATAAAATAATGAGGAAAGATTATAAAATAGAATAAAACACAAAAGGAAAAACTATAATGAGGGAATAAAATCAAATAATAAGTAATAATGACATAGGAATAGTCGTTATAATCTAATACTCCCTCTCAATTTGAAACATAGATGTCAGTTAACTTGGACTTGAAGTAATTGAACAAAGGACGAGACAGATTCTTGGTGAGGATGTCTGCTAGCTGACCACTGTATTACACATATGGAATGCAAATTTCTCTTTACTCGATCTTTTTCTTAATGAAGTGTATGTTGACCTCCACATGTTGAATTAGGTTGTGAGCAATGTTGATTGGGGTCTTATTATCACAGAATAGCTGTAGCGGGACAGAGATTGACATACAAAGTTCACGGAGCATGATGCGTAGCCAGAGTGCTTCACAAATTCTTAAGTACATGGATCAGAATTCTTCTTCAACGTTGCTTCGGGCAGCCACAAACTGTTTTTTTCTTTTTCACGTGATAAGATTGCCCCATACAATTAAGCAATACTTTGAGGTGGAATGTCAATCATGAATTAATCCGACCCAATCAACATCTGTATAAGCAACAATAGACCGAGAGGTGTGACGAGGAAAGAACAAACTTTAGTTTGGTGTACCTTTTAAGTAGCTGAGAAATCGGTGGACAGCTTGGAGGTGATACTCGTAGGGGTCATGCATGAATTGACTTTCTATTACATCTGCGTGTCATATGTCAGGACGAGTATGAGCTAGATAGATGAGTTTTCCCATAAGATGTTGGTAATGAGTTTTGTTGACAGTTACACCATTGATGATGTCAGATAATTTGTTATTAGGATCCATGAGAATAGCAACAAATTTGCACAGAAGAATGTTGTTTTCTTTCAGGAGATCAATCACATATTTGCGCTGAGACAACCAAGTTTTCTAAGAAGATCGAGCCACTTTCATGCCTAAGAAGTACATGAGATACCCCAAATCCTTCGTCTGTAATGATGAAGCAAGGATGTTTTTGAAGGACTCCAATGTTGGGAGATCGTTGCATGCAAAAAAGATATCGTCAACATCGACAATGAGGATATCCACCTGGCTTTTGGAGGAGTGCCGAAAAATGAGGATGTGGTCTGATTGAGCCCGAGTGAAATCATGGCTCACGACCACCTTTGGGAACTTGTCGAACTAGGCCCTTAGGGACTACTTTAGTCCATAAAAACAGACTTCTGAGACCTGCTCAATTGTCCTCTGGAGGCATTAGATTCAAACCGGGAGAAAGAGACATGTACACTTCTTCTGTTACCTCACCTTTCAAGAATGCATTCTCCATATTTATTACATATGACAACAGAACCCGAATAGTGTTTAATTTAGCCACTGGAGCAAATGTCTCCTCATAGTCAACTATGTAGGTCTGTGAGTACCCTTTGGCGGTCAATCTTGCCTTATTGTATTCACAGGATCCGTCGAAGTTGAACTTGGTGCTAAAAATCCATCGACACCCTACAACTTTTTTACCCCGAGGAAGGTCCACTACATCCCACTTATGGTTCCGCTGAATGACATTCATCTCCTTCATTATTGTCGTTATTCAGGCTGGATCAGCAAGAACAACCCTAATCGTAGCAGGGATCTGATGGTTATGTCAGGGCAATAGCAAATGCTCTGTAGATCGGTGATAAATTGTGGAAAGACATATTTTTTCATAGAATAAAAGGAGTATGTCTGATTGCGTACCTACTGAGAGAACTCTCCTTATTTGGAGGATGGGTTGTGCTAAGGATGTCTCTTGGAGTGGAGTCAAGATCTTTTAAGGAGATGGGGGCTCCCGAGTTAGAGCATTGGGACGAGTGAGTCGATTGTAAAGAAGGAAATTGGGAGGACGAGATGGTGCACTCAACATGACAGAGGACTTAGTGGTAGGAACAATGAGGGGACCACCCATAAGAGTAGGATAAGGGAACTCAAGCTCCCCCTCACTAGAGGCCGAGCTAGAAAAATAGGGAATATTTTCAAAGGATAGATCAATAGTTACATAGATTTCGTTTGTGGTCGGATCAATGCATCGATATCTCTTTTGAGTTGCGGAGTATCAAAGAGAGATACATTTTTTGGATCTGGGATCAAGTTTAATCCCAGTAGGGGCAGTGTTTCGATAAAAAATAGTGTAAAAAAATTTTGGGATCTCAAGTGGAGAAGACTCAATTCGCGGTGAAGCATGGTATCAGGACAATTAAGGGGGTTTTAAACTTATGAATATTAGAGGGGACTATTTATGAGATAAGTGACAATTAGAATGACATCATTCTAAAAATGTTTTGGGACATTGGAATGGAATGTAATGGAGCAAGCAACATCTAGGAGGTGATTGGTTTTCCTCTCAGCCACCCTATTTTGTTGAGTGTCCATGCAAGATATGGTGGATGAAGTCTTTAGTTACCAAGAAATCACTCAAATATGAGCTAAAAAACTCACAATCATTGTCTGTCCGAATGACCTGAACATGAGTTTTGGATTGAGTTAAGATAAAGGTGTAGAAGTTTTAGAATGTCACAACGACTTTCGATTTGTCTTTTAAAATGTAAATCCATGTTATTCGAGTGTGGTAATCAATTAAGGTCAAAAATCACCGTTTATTGGTGTAACTGAGAGTGAGAGAAGATCCTTATATGTTAACGTGATTGAGGGAGAAAGGAGCGAAATGTGGGTAGGTGTGAGATGAACCCGGTGATATTTGACTAGCTGACATGTCTCACAATTGAAATTAGAGATATTTTTATTAGAAAACATCAGAGTATATAAAATTTTTAATTATTGAAAACTAGGATGACCTAAACGAACACAATCGATATCACTTGTCAATTTACTGACTGATAATAAGTTAAATTGCAATCGTGGAATATGTAAAACAGATTTCAGAGGTAGATCGTTCGTTAGTTCAATCAACCCTTTACTAGTAATAGAGCTACAAGGTTCATCGACAATTTTGACGATATTTTTTTCTAGAGCACAGTAGTAAGTCGAAAAAGCTTGCGAGTAACCAATCTTGTGATTCGTGGCACCTGAATCAATAATCCATAGACTAGAGAAATAAACTGTGAAAGTCATAGGAAGAGTATCTTTTCGGACATGGGAGGTTGATGGACTCGCAGAAACTTGATTGGCTCCAAGTAACTTGATCAATTGTTTCATCTGATTTTTTAGGGATTCAGAGGATTCCCGGATGTTTCAGGTAGGATTTGATTGAGTCGTATCTGGTTCGGTTGTCGTCGTGAGTTCCTTGCCTTTAGAGGATTTGGCAGAGGGTTTGTAAGCTGGCTTTCCGTGAAGTTTCCAACATTTGTCTCGAGTGTGGTTGGGTTTGTGATAGTAATCACAGGTGGGGTGACTAGCTTGAAGTGTCATGGACGAGGAATGAGCACTATTTGAGATCAAGACAAACGATTCAGCTGAAGGAGTAGAAGCTGCAAGCATGAAAAATGTCTTGCATTCTTTCCGACGAATCTCGATGATTGCAGCGCGAGCAGAAGGAAGATGATCCCGACCAAAAATACGACCCCGAATTTCATCAAGGCCTTTGTTAAGGCAGGCTAGCAAGGAATTGAAACATTCGATCCTTTTCTACGATCTTCTCGAAGAGGCATAAGTCGACCGGAGAATTCCAAGTGTAGTCGTAGTACAAGTCGCATTCCATCCATAATGCAACAAGGTCATTATAGTATTGGGTCACGGTCTTTTATCCTTGTTTTGCCTTTCATATCTTTTTAGATACCTCATAAGTTTGTCGGAATTTCCTACATTCGAGTGGGTATCACAAACAACTATCCATGGAGCATTAGCTGAAGTAAGGAACATGTACGAACAACCAATTGATATTTCCATAGAGTTGATCAGTCAGGACATGACCATCAAGTTTTCCACTTCCTAAGCTCCATATGTTGGAGGCTCACGAATCATGCCTATGAGGTGACCGAACTTCCCACATCCTTTGACGAACAAAGAGACCGTTTGGGACCATTGGAGGAAGTTGCTGTCGTTTAATTTATGAGTTGTGATTAAGAAACTCATGTTGGCTTCCGGTCCTTTGATCTGCATATGAACAGGGTTTGGAGTCGATCCTCCGGTGGCGTCAAGCACACTTTCTGAGGGTGATTCATCGAAAGAATCAACCATAATTATGACTAAGCTGAATGATATGTTGTTGCAAGCCATTGATGAATTTGGTAGAATTACAAGAATCAGATAGATTAGCAAGAATAGCAGGTAGCAGGAACTCTTCTTGCAGATCAGCGGCAGAGAGTTGCAGGTAGCAGGGACCTTTCCACCGGAAGGCTAATACCACTGGAAGTAAATCAGCGGCAGAAGTAAAGGAGCCAAGGATACCACGGGAAGGCTGATACCACAGCGGCAGAAGCAAAACAACCACGGGAAGGCTGGCTGATGACTTCAGCGGCAGAAGCAACTCAAAGCAGAAGCTGTTAGGAAAAGGAGGCGACTAACCCTAAATCTTGGGTTGGCCCTGATACCATATTAAGATTTGGAATAAACTAGCATATTTTCATTAATAGGAGGGGTGTTTAAATCGAATTACAATAGGCATAATAATGAAAATTTATAAAAATAAAGTAAAATAATTAGGAAAGAAAATAAAATAGAGCAAAGCACAAAAGAAAAAACGTAATCAGGGAATAAAATCAAATAATAAGTAATAATTGCGTAGGAATAGTTGTTATAATCTAATAATGTTCCTCTACAAATATTCAGGGGCCATTTTGACACCTTTCTCACCACCTCGCAGCAGCTATTTGGTATTATGTGACATGGAGTGATTCCTAGTAAATAAATAAACGGTATAAGTTGTTATATTGACTGGGCATCATAGTTTTCGTGATGAAGTTTGATTATTTTAATAACTGAATGACGTTCTGTTTATGCTTATGTTTTTGTCAATAAAAAACTATAAGATTACGCAATATGCATTGTTTTATGAGCATATTTAAAGATTTAGGCTGATTTTTTTTTTCTGTTTCATCTTGCAGGGAGAGCGAAATTTCAATAGGTTTGGTGGATGGCTGGGAAAGAATTCAACAATGGGAAAGAATTTAAGGCTTCTGGAGGATGTCCACATTCACATCCTTGCTTCTCAGGCTTCTAATTTAGACAGGTGCCATGTTCTTTAAGTGAATTTTCTGAGCAATTGTAGCCGAGTATTATGTATGATGTCGTTCTTTGAGTTCACTGCTTTTTTTTATCCACCACACAAGATGAGACATTTTTTTTTGTGCTTTAGATTCGAGATATTTACTGTTTAGTAACTTGATTTCCTAATATTACTACGGTAATTTTGATTTGTGCTGCAAGTTTCTAAAGAAAATCTATATTTGTGTCCTTGTATTTGTTTCCATTCCACAACTTCATGACAACGAAGAACACACTTGCGGATTTTGTTGATCATCATCTATATGGGTCGTGAAATTTTTATTAGGGCATTTACATACATACTACCCAATTTTTATGTTTTTACATATCTAACACCTAGAATTTGATTTTTACATTTATGCCACCCAAATCTTTTTTATCACATAAAAAATACCACCATTTTAACTTTTAAAAAGTGCAATACACCTTTTCATGGATAGGCAAGGTGGCCTATTGGTACAAATTGATGTTTAGGTGTTTGACAAGTAAATACATAAGAATTGAGTGGTATGCATGTAAATCTTCCATTTTTATTTTGTAAAGCAGTGCACAACCCTCAGCAGAGCATTACTAAATGAAACATTAGTTATGCCCATGCCCATCTTCTTTCCAAAGTATCAGCTGTAGTCATGGTTTACAAAGATTTGTTTTGGCCAACCTGAATGATCTAGAACTGTTTTGAAGCTTTAATCATTAAATTCCCTTAGATTTAAAATGTAATTTGTAAATTTTTACACTGATGATCGGATGTGAAGAAAATATTAACGAAATCAATCTTGTTTTCATGATATTAAACATATATGCTCAGTTTGTCATGTTGGAAGGAGTTTGATAAAAAAATTCATGTTTATTTTTGTAAAAACCATCACGACTAGCATTATCTCAATGCGCTTAGCTTAATTACTTTTTTTTTTTATTAATCGGCTCATTTTCTTTGTTATTTCCTTATCTGATGACAAGTTAGTGATGGCGGCTAAGAAAGGATGAATTAGCCAAAAGAAAGGTTGCATTTTATTTCTTAGCTTTAACTTGTTTATTTGGTTGATATGATTTCAATCTTAATTTTATTTTAGGTTAATTTCTGTAGAAGTTTATTTGAAGTTGTGATTGGCTAATTGGAGTTTGTGATTTGAATTGTTTGTAGCCTATAATGGCTGATGGGTCGTTTGGAACCAATGGTTTGGGATGAGGTGGCGGCTATGATGCACCAACATTGACGTGGGACATGAACATCATACGATAGAGACATTGGGCACATTTGTTATTATAAATTTTGGGCATGACATGCATTGGATATAACATTATAATAGTTTCTCTTAAAACCTAAAACTATTGCGTGGTAGTTGCACAAATTAAATAAATATAAAATCAACTTTTATAATGTTAATATTGTCTGAATTGTTAAAAAAAGTTCAAAAAAAAATTAAATTCATTCAATAGCTAAAACTCTGTTAAAAAAATGACATAAACAATAAAAAAAAATCTTAGGAAACTAGAGTAGGATGAGAAAAATAAATTTAGTGTTAAATAGCTATTAAGTTATTTGATTTATATGTTTTAAAATAAAAGACAATAGGTTTTTAAGTTATTTATATATCTTAAGATTAAACATTATTTTTCAGGATATAATGTCGGCTTATCCATTAATATTTGTTTCTTTTAATGAGGCATGTTGACATGTCCAACACGTGTCGAGTTTGGGACAGCCGTGTGCTGGGTGAGTTGGTGTGTTTGACATTCACTTTATTTTTATGCAAAGGCGGTGTTCATTAGCATTATTCAATAAATAGAATAATTAAATTAAAAGAAGATAAAAGCTTTATGGCCGTACCGTGTTGCGATATTTGTGCTTCCAAGAACTGTTATGCGCCTTGGAATTATCCGTTTATTTTAAATTTAGGTGGTAGTGTGTGCGAATGTCCATGTGGGTGCAGGTCTTGTTTTTGTGGGTTTGAGGTCACTGCTTTCTTGGCGCGAGCAATTCCGTTAGTTTGGTTGGTTGAATCTTATGAAAATTTAAAATTTGGATTGTAGCTATTCTGGTTGATTATGTAATTTAAATGAAGTTGGGCATTTTTTGGAATCTTGTTGAACTTAAATTGAGATTGATCTTGTGTTGACATTATATACTAGCCTAGATTTCCAGGATTTTATAAGTAATTGGTTTGAGGCATATAATTCACAATGCTTGGCTTGAACTATCTGATTATGAGGGAAATCCGTCTTGTTGTACTATTGTGAGCCCTAAAATTTTTTTTCTTACCTTTTGTAATTTCCTTTCTTATTCAACTTCATCTATATAATAAATTATTTGCTTCTTTATTGCTTTTGATTTTAATCAAATAATAACATTGAAAATTTGATTTTTGACAATTAATCTGATTTATTTGCTGTTTTTTATATTTCCAATTTCTTGTTGAAATTTTCAGGTTTTCTTGATCATTTCATTATGAATCGGTCTAAAATCTAGCACTGTCTATTTTAATTTAAGGAATGCATGTAATTTTTTTTTTTAGTGATTTGTGAATCCTCATTTTTTTTTCTGAAAGCATATTGCATATTATATTAGTTGCATTAGAAAACCTAATCATGCGTGATATATCCTACAACAGTGTTATGCTGGAGTACTCGATTTTTTTTTTTTTTTTTTTTTTTTTTTTGTATCGGGGGATAGAGTTACCTAGAAATGTCAATTGTTGACATCATTTAAGGTTTTGAGTTAAAATCATGGTATGAATGTGCTGCTGAAGATAATGCACAGCGATTTGTTAGAAAAAGGAGGTAATATATTGGAAGTTGAATGGGAAAAATTCACTAGAATGGCTGCACGGACGAATTGTGATTTAGGGCGAAAGTGTTTGGATTGTGGAAATTTGGCTGAATTGATGGCGCATAAGGATGAAGAAAATGGATAATTTATGCCATATAATGGTTTAGTTCTCTAAAGTTTGAGTTAATCATAAAATATATTGATTTAAATGATCAATTGTTTTTGAAGTTTACTATGGTATATCAGTATATGCAAGATTTCAGTTTTAAAAACCTTGATTCTTGCCTCATAAGATGATGGGTTGATACGAGGACAATGTCAGGAAAGGAGGAAGAGACTCTTTAGTTCATGCAATCATAACAAACTAAAAACCACAGCGAAAGTAAAAATGTTGGGAAATGGCAACATATTATAAAGAATGAATGGTTGATAAGTGAAAAAAAGAACATATGATTGATTGTGGAACTACTTCATTTGAAAATTTCTTTTTGATTATAACTTTCTTATATATTCGCTCTATATACATATTTTATCTGATTATTTTGGCTGCTTTCTTGCTGGAATTAATGATAAGCATAATTTTCAGGCAAACTCTACGGATTGACTACTTGCCTCTTCTTTTAAAACAACTGACAGATCCACTTCGAGTAATGGCAAAGGTCTGAGCATCTGTCCTCGTCTCTTTTTGTTTTGTTCAAACAATTTTTATAAAACTGCAACTTAAAATATTGTTATCAGGATGCAGCTGTGCAAAATGTAGTTGAATTCATGAATACATATTCATTTAGCCAGGAGGATTTGGAGACGATCATGGAGCTATCCAAGTTCAAGGTGTGTGTATCATTCCCTATTCATAATTATAAAAGTTTGAGCACTAGTAAGGTTTTTGTGATTCTAAGGAAAATATATCAGTTGGTAATAATTCTTTGTGAATAAACGATAGCGTTGCTGTCAAAACGTTGCCTTTTTTGGTGAATCAAACATCTGTAGATGTATTTCTGATTTATATTTGAATGATGGTGAAAGTTCTGGCCAAACTACCCAGCTGATTCGTTTGCGTGAAAGCACTTCTTATGCAGTGCATATGCAGTTGTATTTTAGTTCTATGTTTATTATGAGTTGACATTCATAACTTCATAGTTGACATTTGCTACATTTATTATAGGGTCATCCAAATCCCATGGATGGTATTCTACCAGCAGTCAAAGCTGCCTTGACTAAGGCATATAAACAAGCAAGCACCACTCGAATTGTGAGAACGGCGGACTTGATCAACCTTCCAGGTATTAAGAAGGCTCCAAAGAAGCGTGTTGCTGCAATTTTGGAACCTGTGGAGAATAGCTTGGCCGAAGAAAATGATGATACATTGTTGGAAAATGAGGATGGTTCTGATGCTGAAGAAGCTGGTGAGTAATTTATACATATACCATGTTTTAACTCATATCATTTGAACTACTCATTGATTGCTTTTGAATACTCTTGTTTAATGTAAGAACATTTTCTACGCGTAAGGCTAATTATCTTCTGACGCTATCCTTACGACACTTTCCAAAATATGCTACTGTGGAGGTTTCTCTATTAATTGCTGCTGTTTGTTAATAATTTGTTTTGTATGTCTTCATTTTATTGCAATTTGGATTTTGGCTGATTAACGCAAACTTTTTATTTTTTCTTATAACTTCAAGATGATTCGATCAGCCAAAATGGTGAGGCAACCCCTCAACTAGATCTGAAAACCGATAATCGCAAAGGTCTGTTTCTTGTCTTCCTATCTCCCATCTTACCTTGAAATACTCATATAATCTAATTTATGTGATTTGATTCAAACTCGTAATCAGGAATTCAAGTTCAGCTTGATCTGAAAAATGAGGATGGCATGTCAAACAGTAAGAGCGCATCTGCATCCAAAGCAAGAGGTTCTGCATCTTCAGACAAGGGCGGTGGTCGAGGTGGCTCGGCTGGTGGCAAGAGGAAGAGATGATATAATACTCCGCACGAACAACTGATTTCGGGTACATCTCTTCGTGACTGTCATTTGGCTTCCACAAATTTTGTTTTGTTCTGAATTTTGTGTTTCAACTCTAGCAGTTTGGTTTACTTTCATGTTATTCTATGCAGTTTTTTCATACTTAGTGGTGCTTCTTTTCCATGTTTAAAAATAAAAAAGGTAGTTTCGTAATATTCTGAGCTGGTGGTGTTGGCTTTCTACAAAATTGTTTGAGAAATTTACATACGCACCAAACAATTCCTATATATTTATGTGTATATAATACCTATTTTTTATATTTATATTCATTAGATTTTGTTGGAGTAAACCTATGCATGAAGAGATATATTTCACTTTTAGAAAGTTAATAATAGCATTAATTTTGATGTAATGTTTAAGATTTGAGTGGTATGCATGTAAATATCAAGTTTATGTGTTAGATATGTAAATATATAAGAATTATGTGTTATGTATGTAAATGCCCCCTCAAATTGTTGATCTGCAATTTTTTTTTATTTTATTTATTGCCCAATCAGATATGTGCTTCCATATGAAATACTTGGAAGGGAAGGTTGGTTATTTATGGCTTGGTTGTGAATGAGAGTGGCCTGAAGCCGTTGGGACTTGAGAAAAATTCGGTTTAGTCCAAAACTTTCATGTCTATTTTTTTCGATTTAGATTAACCCGCAGACTCGAATATGACTCATATTTAAAATTAATTTAAATTTAACTCAAATAACTATTATGCATGTATTAAATGGGTTATGTGGATCAGGTTTGAGTCTGTCCGGCGGGCGACTGAATGCTGGTCAAGTTGGGTTAAATGTGCATGTGGTAGGCATGGTTTAGCAAAATGTGGTATGTCATGAAACAAAATATTCAGACAACCTTATTTTAGATATAGCTTGTGGCATGAACAAAAAGTTGGGTTGGGTTGGGTTTACACAAGTGTGAGCTTATTTATAAAATTTTAGCCCAGGCTATTATGTGTATGTTCAAGCTAGGTTGGTTTGTTATTGTTTCTGTTAAAGCCCAGTTTATATTAATTTTTTATTTTAATAATGAAGCCATTATCAAATAAATTAATAATTAGTATTATTAAGTTATTTAATTTCTAATCAAATATTATTTATTTTATAAACTTAAATTAGTGCTACAGAATTATTTATTTAAACAAATGACTCTTATCAAATAAACTAATGAAACATATGATTAGACTTTTTTTTTTAATAAATGAATTTTATAGAGTTTATAAATGAGTTATTTGTTGAAATTTAAATGAAAGAGCGGCAAATTGAATAATTAAATTAAACAATTAATTTGTAAATAATTGACAACTAAATAAATAATTTATTTAATGTATTATGAATTAAAATTTTAACTCATGGGTTGTTTTCCCTGGTTCCCTATATGGTGTAGTGTAAATCAAATGTATAGATTTATCCTGTCATGAAACAAAAGATTATATTGCCGCAACCAACCGTCTACCATCATCGTCAAGCTCCCGCCGTGGCCGCCATAATGGTCGCCAATGCTAGCAATTTTGTTGACATTCGCCACTGCTCATCACAGGTGTAATAGTCATTATTGATCTTCGTCGCCATTGAGTTTGTTTTACATTGATTTATTTTTTTTCAAACTAAACATGACGTTGTAAATTTATGCATTTACTTCACACAAAATCAAACAATTTTAAAGTATTTTAAATACACTATTTTAACTACAATGTATTCCTTTCACATTATCTTTGTTCAGCGAATCAAACGTAATATAAATGAGTTTTAAATTGAATTTAAAAGGATTAAATTAAGCTTTGGTCGAGCTTATTCATAAATTTTAAATGAAAATGGTCACCAAACTTCTTAACAGTTTATTTCTCGAGCTTTAAATAATTTAACTTGTTAACCTTAACAAATCCAACAATGAATTATTTACCCTGTTCATTTGATATGTATTTATAAAAATATTCAAATGTATTCAATTAGTTAATTAGATGAACTTGAACTCTTATCGAGCCAAGTAGCATATTGACCGCTTTATTTGCAACCTTAGTTGTGGGCTTTAGTCCAAGCATATCCTATATGTAAGAGAGATTTTAATTTGAAAGATATTTTGAAGAATCATAAAATTTTAATTTGATTTTTCTTTTATTTACATGATATAAATCAAATAACTAGTGATATTTGGAAGATATGCATATTCAATTGTTATGTATTTACATAAACACCGAAAGGCCACTTTTTTGCTTACATCACGCCACCCATGCATGAAAAGGTGTATTTCATGGTGTTAAAAATTAAAAAGGAGGCATTTTTGATGTGATATTTAAAGATTTGAGAGGCATATATATGAAAAATTAAATTAAGATTTTAGATATGTAAATACATAAAAATTTGGTGGTTGTATGTAAATGTCCCTTTTCTTTTTGCAGGCATGGTTCCTAGAATTGGTGCTAATGCAACTAGAATGAAAGCTGATGCATGGGAGGAATTGTTTATTTTTTATGGTGAGGATTGATCAAAGTTATTTTAGGCTTATTTCAAGAGTACAAAAAGTTAAGCACCTTAGATAAAGAGTGATTGTTTTTATATGATAGAATAAGTTTTGAGGAACATGAGAGTTGAGATATAACTCTTTAAGAAGATGTTGTGACACGTGCATCAAACAAGATGATTGTCATCCCCACATTTGTGAAAAAAATATTGCATATTTATAACGTATGCACTTACAAGGTTGGATGGAGAGGGCACGTCACATACAAGTGAAATTATGATAACTTTGTCACTCCATCCACCATTGTAAGTACATATATTTGTAAGTATGCAATGTTTTCTCACATTTGTGATATTAAGTATTGGTAGATTAAGTTATGTTAAGGAAAATGACAATAGTGTGAGCCTTATAGGAGATGATTGCAACACAAATCTTGAGAAAAATGAAACTGAAACAAAACTTGAAAGAGATGATTATGCCAAAAATATATAGGGAGATAGTGGCAATACAGATACTAGAGCATGATTGCTGCTCTAATCTCGATATAGAAAGTATTAATGATGATTGTACAATAATCAAATATTAGAATGCACCTTATAATGTTGATAAGTGAAGCAAGTCTTCCTAATGATGAGCGTTTTGATGTAGTAAAATGTATAATGCAAGCATTGCTATGATGCATATTATGTTTTGCAAATGGCTGAGATGTGAACCTTACAATAATGCAGGACTCGTATGTAATAATGGACACACACAGACCAATTTAGATGCAGGAGCTAAGTTTCATTTACAGTACAATATGATGCATCTTATCTTGTAGATCATGATCTGGAGTGAGCAAGGCATGAATCTTTTTATAGCATGGATTTTGATGAAACTATGACTGAGGTGTACATGAAGTATGCTCACTTGCCGGCAACCGGTGATATACAAAAGGAAAAGTTACATAAATACCACAATTTTTATGAATTTGCATATCTAATAACAGAAGTCTAATATTTACTTCTCGATCCTATAAATTTATGCATAAAAAATGCATTTGACCACAAAGAAATTAGTAAAAGTGATTTTTTTTATGTGATGTTGAAGAAATTTTAGTGTTATGAATGTAAATATTAAAATTTGGGTGTTAGATATGTAAATACATAAAAATTGTTACAAAAAGAATGTAAAGTTGACGTGCGAGTGGTTTGCGATAACGGCCCTAGGAAAACCGCTATCGACAATGTACCTAATTGAGGATATAAATCCATCATATCATAGATCTCAATGTTGCAAGCATAAATATGACATCAAAATCTCAACATTATAATCAACATGAATAATTTCGAGAAGTTCCATAAGTTTAATTTGATATCATCATAAAATAACCAAAATCTCCCACATTGGTATAAATCCTCTGCAAATTACTTTGCCGCTAAATGATTCATAACAAAACTATGGCTAAATGATTCAGAAAAGAAAACTTCTTTTTTTTAAGTTATTTACACAGAAATTGCTGACAGATTGCTAATAATGGCCAAATAGTCATCTTTACCTCGAATTAATGCTATTTAATGCTATGATAGCTCTGAATATGAGACATTAATGATTGATTATAAAATATTAGTATGCTTTAATAAATGAAGAACGAAAGTGCAGCAGTGTAACGTCTATGAAAAATTTAAAAACTTAACGGAACAAAGCATTTGATCAAATTGTGATGGGATGTACTCTGCAACAAATACAAAAAACCAAATAAAATTCAATAAAATTTATCTTATTCACATCTCAAAAAACACTCAATAGCTTCAAATCCATCCTGATTTTCATCCCGAGCCATATTTTTTTTCCATTAAAGTTCAAGCCATAACTTTATCAAGCACAACACTTTAAAACACAAAAAGCTATATAATGATATATTTGGAAATCAGAAACCAATAGATGTATCTGCATGAGCAAATGGGAGCATTTAGCTCTTTGGGAGTATAAAAACATATAACATATTAACAAAATCAAGCGGGGTTGGCCTAACGAGAAAAGGGGAACGTAGGCAATTCATTCCGAAGACTGCCGCGAAACTCTTCTCGCCATTTTCTCGAATATAACATTTACTCCAAGGATAAGAGAACAGTATTCGGGATATGAAGTAGAGCAGCTATGAATAAATATCACTTATCCGGCTGTCTCATGTCTCCAGGATGCAACGCAACACCTGTGAAATGAAGATGATGAAGATTTATGAGAAAATTAACAGCAGGAGGTAAATGAAGAAGATTATGAATCTCTCTATTAGTTGATTGTTCCATATTCGATTTACAAATTAAATGCGTCAAAATGAAAATGATAACGGCTAGTCATAATTATCAAAGAAAGCTATGAAACACCCGCAAAAATTTTGGCAGAAAATATTTGCCGATTACATCGCTTTAAAAAGTGTGATTTTAAATAAAATAGAGAATTTTTAAGATGAAGGGCATAAGGTTCTTATTTAGTGAAGTTTGATGGAAGTTTTAATAATTAGATGGCAACCTAACATCAACATTCAAGCCATCTCCATCAGGGTTTGCAGCATAAGTTCAATTACAGATGCGTGATATATTAGATGCAACATAATAAAATAAGGAATCTACAAACATACCACAGAATCTGATGTATTTACAAACTCAAAACTAAATTTTGATATTTACATTGATAACACTCAAATCTTTAATTTCAAATAAAAAATTCAATAATTACTAACCTTTTTACACGGAAATATAGCTTTTCATGCATAAGTTTTGGTACAATTATGATACTAAAGTGCTATAAATGTAAAATACCAGATTTTAGGTGTTAGATATATAAATATATAAGAACTGTGTGGTAAGCATATAAAATTTTCAATAAAATACTATTATATTAAAGAGATAACCAGAGTAATATCAATTGAAAGAAAACATTGAAGTTAAATTGTAAGTATCTGTTTTAGCATGAATTAAGCTACAATTCTTTGAAGACAATAGATAGGTGCGAGATAAAGCTTTATAGTTTAAAGCATATTACAATCACTGGCTGAATAAAACTAGGACATGCCAATTCAGGTTCCTATAAGAGGAAAAAAAAGAAGAAAAAACTATTGACATCTCACTTAACCTGTAAAGCACAATAACAACATTGCCATGCATGGCCAAATTTGATCTAGCTAAACATATCATAGATCATATATATTCTTTAAAAAATGCATTAAATGTAAAGAAAATATTATAATACAAAAAGATTCAACATCTAATTGTGTTATATGTGAATTTGAATCAAAACTCACTAAAATATGCACACAAGTTTACACCAACACAAAATCAAGAGCATGAGCAATGATCAAGCAATATTTAAAACTTGGCCAGAAAATTAAATAGAAGACCACATATGTATGTAAAACTGAATAATTGAGCAAGATAACCTATGAACTGAAAATGAATTAGAATCTAAATTGATCCAAAACTTTTAAAATGAATAAATTATAAGTGATGAAATTGGCAAATCAATTGAACAATCTATTAACACTTGATAAAATATCGTCCAAATATATGTATACTAATTGAACAGATATTGAGTTGAATTTTTAATTCTTGATTTACAAATTAGTAAAAAAAACAAATTAATAAACTCAAATTACATCAACATATCCATGAATTTATTAGTGATAACTACCTTTAAAAAAGCAAAAGATTACAAATCCATTTATTTAGTTGAAGCAAAATTCATCAATGTTAATATTTAAACCATTTGGAATAACATTTTTTAAAAAGATTATTCACTGTATGATAAGCATTTCTTATTTGTATCAAAGATTATTGGATTATTTCCTACTTATTAAAAAAAAAACTTTTATGGAATTTAATAAATATAATTTTAAGATTTTTTCTCAAACATTCTCTCTCTTAAAACTATTTAAAACATATAGATTGGGAAAAATGTTAAAATTTCTCTATCCATAGTTAAGCATTATCCTACTAAACCATCCATTACTTGCGCATGATCTATTGGATAAATATTATTAAATACAAAAAATAAGTTTAATTAAATATAATAATTATAAATCCCTCGGAAATGTTAATAGAAATATCTAATTTAAATTTGGCTAAAGTAAATCAAATAGTTGTAATAGTTTGAAGTTTTAACTATCAAGACATCGTAAGCATTAGTGAAACAGGCTACACGATTTTATTTATTTTGTCCAACTTCCCAAGAAGTCACTATCCTAAGAATACTTCAATGTGACCACACTTACTTCGGAATTCTAACAAAAATCCAATCTTTACATCAAAAGAAGCCTTCAAGTTTAAGAGATCAGCTTTAATACATAATTTATAAATCCATTTATTTAGTTGATTCTAAAAGTGCATAATTATTCACAAGTAATCTTTAAATCATTTAGACCGCTTTTTGTTTAAAAGACTATTCATCCATATAAAAGATACGTTTTGCATAGCCAGTTATCGAAAGAAAATTTCTATGGAATTATATAT